ACACATTTAATTAAATAAAAACTCATTCCCATGTTTCCATACTCACACTCCAATAGGTCCCATTCCTGGTCCACCCCCTCCATGAGGTATACAGAAGGTCTTGTGAAGGTTGAGATGAGACACATCTCCTCCATAATCCCCAGGACGACAGAGCCCAACCTGAGCATTGAGATTAGCACCATCTACATATACCTGGGGGAGGAGTAGAAAATGAAGACAAGTATGCAAGTATATACTTGTATACAAATACATTGCAATGTACATTCACAGTGACAATATCATAACTTCAAATGTAGCTGAAATGTACATCAGTATCTGGGATTTTATTACAATATTTCTGTGACAAATATTTTAATGAGCCTCCATGAGTAAGCAAAGTGTTACATCATCACAAGAATTGACTTAATTACTTTTAGCTATAGTTGAAATTTTAATTATTAATTCTGTGATCTGACTTGTCTATTATATTTTATCTTTAATGACTCTTGCAATTCATGCAAGATGAGTTACACTGTACTTCCTTAAACTCTTCTGTTTAGACAGCATTTTTATCTGCTCTTATCTTAGGTGTCTAAGTTATTAAATCTAATTATAAATACAGTTACATGGTTACACCCCCAGGTCACTCTGGCTCAGTGGCTCGCCCCAAAAATTGCCAGAATATAGAACAATGGAGATGAGTGACACTGATTCTCAAAGTAGCTGTGAATCACCAGATTCAAGCAAGTGTATATTATTATATGCCATAATAGATATATTTATTACAATAGGTATATACCAGTTTGGCCCAGGACTATGCGTTATAATTAATAACATCGTTTTTCATGATCCACGAAATAATCTTCCAAGTGGTGTAAAGGATGAGGCCAGTCTAAATTCTACGTTCACATCACTTGGATTTGATGTCAGAGTTCATCAGAATAAAACAGCAGCAGAAATAGGGTCTATCGCAAGGGAATACAGTGCAATGCAGCACACTGGAGCCTTCTTCTTCATTATATCCAGTCATGGAGGAGAAGGTGATGTTGTCTATGGCACTGATGGAAAAGCAGTTGCAGTTCAGGAATTAAAAAAGCGATACTATGCTACAAATTGTCACTCTTTAGCTGGAATACCTAAAGTATTTGTCATTGATGCTTGTCGTGGCATTATAAAAGAACCAGCTCTTCAATATACAACGAAAGCTTTTCAAAGCTCTCTTTTGAGTAGTACAACCAGTTTCATGGATTCAGCCGATATTATGACAATATTTGCATCAGCACGAGGTAACGCAGCTGGTTGTAATGAAAAAGGAAGCTTTTTTATACAAAAATTTGTAAGAGTTTTAAAAAAACATGCCACTAAAATGAATCTAACAGACATGATGAAGAAAGTCAAAAGAAAAATTGAAAAGTTACAAGTACAAACTCCACATGTTGAATCCAGTTTTTCCAAAGACTATTATATCCAAAGGTTTGTTTTTATAATTTTTGCTTTATAAAATAATTATTCAAATATAGGGACAGACAGGATGAGGAGGAAGCACATGAGGAACCGATGGAGCAGCAGGATGCAGCAAATTCAGAAATGATATCAATGCAGGCTTCATTTTCTTGATTCTTTGCAACAATACAGTGCTTTTATACATGTAGTTAGAACAATTTTTTTTGGTTTTTTTTAGATACTTTCCCTTTCAAGTTTTTTTGTAAACTAATACAATGACGCCTCTATAGCGTACACTAATAATTATTTTCTCATTTGTTAGCTGTGTTGCTATTGATTGAAACTGCACAGTACAATTGCTAATTTTTTTTGCATTTTTTGGAATTTATAAAATTTTGTAATAGCACTGTAACAATGCAACCCATTTAAGGTGAGGGAGAGATGATAAAATGTTCAACAAAAACAATTAGATGAGAAGCAATCGAGTACGTGTAAAGTAGTTCCAATACTCAAAATTAATGACTATTATCAACTATTTCCAGTAGTTAATGGATATTACACGCACTAATGAATAAGACATTATTTGAGGTGCAAATTCAAGAGGGAATCATACCACTTGATTCTGGAGAAGGCACGTACGTACATGTACA